CGCTGCCGGAGATGGGGGAGGAGCGGGACGAGTGCCAGGGGGTGGCGGCGGGGGGGCGGTTCTGGGCGGTGAGCGGGTATGGGACGGAGGGGCAGGGCCGATTCGTGGGGGCGGCGGAGTGGTACGACGCGGAAGCGGGGACGTGGACGAGGGAGGAGGGGCTGGGGGAGGCGGGCGGCGCGACCTGCGTGTGGATGTCTGGGGGCAGGATGTGGAGCCTGGAGGGCGGCGGTGGAGTCGGTGGCGTGAGGGAGTACGAGGGGAGCGGGAAGGGGTGGAGGGAGGTGGCCCCGCTGCCGGGAATGATGAGGCCGTGCGCGGCGGCGGCCGTGAGCTGTGCCGGAGAGAGGGTGTTCGTGGTGGCGGCGCAGGCGGTGGCCGAGGCCGAGGTCGGCGGTGGGGGCCATCGCGGTTGGATTCTGGAGGTGGGGCCGCAGCGGTGGACGCGCGTGGTGACGCCGGTTGGCTTCTCGGGCTTCGTCTTCTCAGCCGCAGCGGTCCGGATCTAAATTAAACCGGTTCGGTTCCCCTTCCCTCGACTCAGTACACTGTTCCACGTACAACTATAATAATGACCCACTGCTTCAGGTGTAATCGAACCGGGTTTTTGTGGGTTATGAGAGGCTTCCTGTTCCATATATTATGTATGCTCTTTCGAGTCCCGTGCATAATGTTATATACCCTCTTTAAACAAAGGGATATGTCAGCTGTTCATGGCGTGCTTTTCCTATGATTTCCTCGCCTTCAACGAGACTAAAGAAGAATGAATGCACATAACACACTATCTTCTCAATCAGTAATTCAATATCTTACAGGTCAACAACATCAAACTCTTGTCTCTCCAATTCTACATCTCAAACATCAGCACTATAGATCATGGAAATCGATACTCTCACTTGGACTCTGTTCTTGGAGAAAATGGATCGCTGCTGTACTCGAAATCTTCACCAGTCCCTGCAAGTCCTCCCCCACTCTTACCTGCAAAGGGTGGAGAAGTCGATCCAGACTCCGCAGTGGAGTTTACGTCCGCCACCTGCATGATGTTCTCGATTTCCTTCACCACCTCGCTCATCGAAGGCCGGTCTCGGCTTTCATCCTCCACGCACTTCATTGCCAAGTCGATGAAGTTTTCCAACCCACGTAAGGCACTGACAGTAGCAATCGTCGGATCGAGAAGCTCATCAAGATTCAACAGATTCTTCTGCTTGTCTATAGCATCCTTCACCTGTCTCACGACGTATTGTCCTTCTTCTATTGGCTTTCTTGCAGTCACCAGCTCCAGCAGTAGAACGCCGAAGCTGTAGACGTCGCTCTTCTCCGTCAACTGCTGCGTCATGTAGTATTCGGGATCCAAGTAGCCCTGCGATGAGGAGGATGCAGGTGGGTGTTCATCGGATGCAACTTGCAGAACTTTTCCTCTGCGATGTGTGTACTCACCACTGTGCCTTTGACTTGCGTAGTAATGTGGTGTTTAGCGTCATCAAACAATGTTCTGGAGAGACCAAAGTCGGAGACTTTTGCGTTGAGACGATGATCAAGAAGGATGTTGTTGGACTTGATGTCTCTGTGAATGATGGGGGGGTTTGCGAGCTCGTGCAGATAGGCAAGACCGCTGGCTGCACCATGGGCAACTCGAAGCCTCCTTTTCCAATCCATACGTATTCCAGACTTACCTGCACACCACAAAAGAGGAATCAATTCTCTCTGTGAAGAAAAACTAGGAAATTATTAGTAAAACTTACCATATGAAATCAAGTTCAAAGATGAGCCAACTAGGTTTCATGATTATCTGTATAAGACTTTTTTTGGTCGAGAAAGATTGTGATCTCATCTACTGAACTCATTCTATCTGACCCTTTCTATGGCAACATTTCTTGTGCATGATGAACACTTAGACATGCCCAATTCAAGGAAGAGATATTGCTTAGAGAAAAGAATGAACTGAAACAAGGACTGCAGAACAGATAAGAATCTAGGTGATGCATGGAGCTCAACTGACAACAAGTATGCTGTAAAGAGATTGCAAGTACCTGATAGACTTTCCCTGAGAGTGCCATTTGGAACATACTCATACACCACTATTTTCTCATTGTGGTCGATGCACAAACCAACAAGACTGACCAAGTTTTTGTGGTGCACCCTACTCAGCATCTCAATCTCTGTTTTGAACTCCTGATTACCTTGTGATGATCCCTGCTGAGCTCTTTTGACGGCAACAACTTGTCCATCAGCTAATACTCCTCGGTATACCTACAGAAGTAACCACCAGTAATCTGAAGCTGAGGTTGATTTCTTGATCTAAAATGTTTTGTGTAGGAAAAATATAATGCAACTTTCAGAAAGCAAAATCTAGGTGATCAGCAGTTGCTTCACTAAAATGTCTCTAACAGATACAGACTTCAAGAATCACCTCATGCAGCACCATTTTGGCTTAGGAGTCTAACATGCATGTTTATACCATATCTTCATTCCCACTGATGCAGCAGTAAAAGGATTGATCTTTAGGTTTCCTTACCTTGTAATGAAGTACTTAATCCATCATATCTCAGATAAAAAAGAATGATAGGCATCTTCTGATTATGTTATTGTTTTCAGCTTAGATTTAACACTCACATGAGTGATAAATTCGTTCGAATCTGACATATGTAGTTTAAATTAATCAAGAATTAGATAATTTTATGTAGGACCTTCGACTCTCATACAATCTAAATTTTTTTTATCAATGTCATTGCGTCTAGGATCTTCAGTCAGTAAATGAAATATGATTCATTGCTTTATAGATTTAACGATATCAAACTGCATGTTTACTTCCAAAATATGAGAGTGAGAGATGGAAAAAGGGAGCGGAGAGACCTTTCCATAAGCACCACTTCCAATACAGTTCTCTTCCGAGAAGTTCTTGGTGCATTTCCTTATCTCTTCAAGTGAGAAAATTCTTGGCCCTGTCAGCTGTGGAATGCTACTGCTACTTGTGCTGAGATTCCACAATCCTGTCAAAGGCTCAGTAGTTTACATACTGCTAGTGTTGATTTGCATAAAACATAATTCATGTAAAGTTTGCTCAAAATGCATGCCATGGTCCATCTGAGGAATGATCTTACCAGAAAATTGAAATCGTGAAGCAGCCTCCTTAGCCTTTCTCTTCTTGTGAAGAATGAGCAAACATATTATTGCTGATAAAAGAACAATTACACCAACTGTTGCACCAATTACAGGGGGACCCTTTTTTGATTTTGAACCTGGTACTGTTCCTGAAGAGGATAGTAGGAACATAGATTTTTTTCTTTAGAAACTACTTATGCAAGTCCTAAATTTGTTGGATGTAACAATTGGGAGGAAATCAGCTTCTGTTATATCTGCAGTTACCTTGAAATATATATTGTTGGCCTCCGAAATAATAGGGTCCGAATTCAGGTGGAACAGTAAAGTTCCGATTGTTGAACAAAGATGAGATAAGGAAAACCTCAGATTCATCAAAATAAACTTTTCTATCTGGAAAGAACTTCAAATCAATCTGAAGATAGTGGTCATTGTTCATGTAAGGATTTAGGGCAGAAACTGAGCTGACAGGAACTTGATATTCCAGACATCCATGGTATAAAGAAGTTCCCAAAGAAAAGTAGTGTGATGAATTATTAATGTCAGAGAAATATTGGAGCAGAAAATATATAGTTCCCCTATATGGACATGAACAACTGCAATGGGAGTCCATATCTTGATCTAGAGGACATAAACTGTTTCTGCAGTTGGGTGTTGAGGTGGAGTACATGGTATCACTGGATTGCTGTGGAATTGTGCAATACTTGCTTCCTGATTCTCCTTCCTCACAATATGGATTATCGACAAGTCTGCAGGTATGGAGTCATAGTGTAAGAGCAATAATTAGCTGAAGAACTATGATCCTAGCTCATGTTAAACAAGACCAGCAAAATGAAGACAAGAAAAGATAATGGCAGGATCCAACATTAGCTCTTGCAAGTAATTTCCAGTGTTTATCTTCTGAATATTATTATGCTGCAAATCAACAAGTGAAAGCCGGCTGCTGATTTGGCCGCTGAGGTCCAGAGTGCCATTAAAGCGATTGTTTCTAAGCCTCCTGCATCAACCATCGGAAGCATCAGCTCGATAATTTTGTGCAGCCACATATTTTCTGACATTTAATCACAAAAATGTTGCTTATAAAAATACACTCACACAGTCTGCAATTGTGAGACAAATAGAGATGTCGGTATCTGCCCTGAAATAGACAAGTACTCCAGGATTCTGTGACAAGGATACCAAGATTCAGACCCCAGCTTGCTTGATAAAGGATTCTTGAATTTGAAAGACAAATGGATTAAATTAATGGTCTGTGATCTCCAATGGACTTGTTTTGTGCATGTGTTGGCTTGACTTATCTGCTACAGCATTGGTTACAATCTCCAATTCCAACTTATGAAAACTTCACTTGAATTTTATCTGATAATATGATCTCCCTTCTTTTCCATAATTTGGATGACCTCTGATTTATCTAATGGAGAGCTTCCATGCTTTTTTGAGTTTGGATGGTTAAAGAGAAACACATACACACATGATAGACACAAAATGTTAAAAGGGAGGGAGGGAGAGAGGAAGAGAAAGAGAGAGGGAGAGCTACATTGTTGTCAATGATTGAGAGGTTGAAAACCAGGATGGAACTTCTGATTCGTCAAAACTGTTGTTACTCATGTCCCTGCACAAGAATCAATCTGGTTAGTCAACAGTCATTAATTATGAAACAGCCAAAGGTTTGATCAGGAAGTGACACTAGAAACCAGTCAAATATTAGATAAACTATTTGAAAAGAATTTAAATAAAGCAAAAAAAATTTATGCCACGGCATGAAAATAATATTCCGGTCCAAATGTTTGCTTGTTGAACTTGAATCCACAGCTGGCCAAGTGCCGCATGGCTTAAATGAAGCTAACCATTATTTACAACGGCAATAAATCTATAAAAAATTGTTAACCATATAGAAATATTTTTTCTTTAAATGCTTACAAATATGTTAGTCCATCTATTCCAGTTAGATTTGGCAAGGGACCAGTAAGTTGGTTATTTGACAGGCGCCTGCAACCAAGAAGTGATCATGTTCTTGAGAGTAATTGAAGTTGAAATAGTTTCTTGATTAATTCAACTACACTCACAGGTCTACCAATCTTGTAAGGTTGTTGAGGTTTGGAGGCACATTTCCACTGAGTTCATTCCCGTCAAGCCGCCTGAATCAAACAAGAACTAACATCACAAAAAGCACCAGCAGGGATGCAGCATTCAGTGTCAATTACAGCATATCTTCAGCTTTGCTTACACATCTTCCAGAGTTCTCATCAATCCTATTGTTGTTGGGATGCTTCCTGATAAATGATTGTTATCTAAAATCCTGAGCAAAGAATAACCTTAGTATATCAAAAACAAGTAATTCAGATTTATCTTCTTCTGAAGTTCTCCCTACATAGCAATTTGTAATCAATGTATCACCAAAACCTCAGACCATAGTTGACAGAGTTTGACAAGGGATTCAGTATCTTACACATGTAGCAGTTTCATTTCTGAATGGAAGAGACTGGGTGGAATTGGCCCAGAGAGGTTGTTCTTGCCAAAATGGCTGAAACTTGGAAACAAATTGATCATTTAGATAACAACAGGCTCATGAAATAAATTATCTAAATCTCAAGTGGTAAAGGAACACAGTCACCCACAAGTGCTGGCAGTTAGTTAACATATCCAAACCAAGATTTGTGCCATCAGAGACAGGGATCGGTCCGGAAATCATATTATCAGTAATATCCAGCCAGTGCACTGATGACAAATTACCAAGAGCTCCGGGAATTGGTCCATGTAAATGGTTGGAGTTCAGAGATCTGTATAGATAGAGAGCAATCACTTACTAGTGTAATAACAATGAGAAAGAACTATTAATTGGCACACAACAGTACTATAGATGTTGAACTGTTTCCAAATGTTAATAGATCTTGAAGACCAAACTTCAATGAAAAAGGTGAAAGTTAATCATACATCTTTCAGAGTCAGATTTCAATCTAAGAATCATATAGTTATGACAAGTTCTGCAGGAAATGAAAAGTCGTCGTATTTATGAATGTGTATAAGATTGTGACATAATGTGGCCTTTCCAGGTTTAATCATGCAAGACATTGAACTTTAAGGGAGATGCAGATCTTACAAAACCAATAGACTCGATAGCCTTCCTAGTTCTGCTGGAATGCTGCCACTAAATCCGCAACCAACAAGGATTCTGGAGAGAAAAAGTGAACAAGAAAGTTTCAGTTCTCTTCTGCTGTCGCGCTTAGTGAACATCCTGCAACTACTCGATAATGAACTTGGAAACCATAACTTACAAATTTTGCAATTTCACCAAATTCCCAATGGAATGGGGGATTGGTCCATTCAAATCTGCATTATACGACAGTTCCCTGTGGGTAAAAAGCCTAATCAGAACACATGAGAATGATCACAAGAAATAGGAAGCTTAATTGAACAATGCAGAAACATTAATGGTACACTTGGTGCATCACAACCTCAATCCAAAGACTGTAACTTAACTAACGAAAAGAGCAACATGTAAGCCCAGTTAATAGACATTTTGGTTGATAAAAATAGAATCATTGAGAAACTTACAAATGAACCAACTCTGGCAGACCCTCAATTTCTTCAGACAGAATCCCGCTTATGCCCAAGTTTGATAAGGTTCTGATGCACAAGAATTCCAATTGAAGTTTGCAAGTTAAATAATTTATGTTGCAATAATCTTGAAATATTTGAAGAAACATATCCTTGGAACTGACATTGAAATTATATGAGAATTTGAACATTTGACTCCATCCCAGTGGCTGCTGCAAGGATCCTCACCAGCCCAGGTATTTGGAATGTTCTGCCAATTACTAGCCACACCAACCAGAGCAGAAGCTATGCAATTTATACAAAGATTCATTAGACTGGTTATTCTTGTTACCATCTGTAAGTAAACAGAACTCAATAAGGGTTCATGATAATTTTTGGTACTGCAACCAGTATCCAGAAAATGATATATATGATGACAAAAGGAACAAATTTCATCCAAGTTTCCATATTTCTATTTGCTGGTTTTGAATGAAAGTAATATGATTGGATTGACGGTCTTCTGTCCCTTCTAGATTGTGCTTCTCTGAAGAAATCTCACTACAGTCTAACTTGATACAGAAACAGGATGAACATTAAATGCGGAGACAGGCTTTTGGATTTCCCATAACAAAAATGATCAGATCTACACTCCTATGTGCATGTTGGGTAAAGTTTGAAGTTACAAAATTTCTAGCTGATAGGGCACAATTTGATAGCACGCCTCCAGGCAACCGTCCACAGCCACATCAGCGCCAACAAAAAGTTTTGAAGTCGATGTGGCGGACCACGTCAATACAACGCCGCCTCGCAAAAGTTGGGACGACGCCTCTCGGGTCTGACGCCGCCCCATAAAGAGTAGAACGACGCCGCTCGAGTGTGACAGCGGCACCACTCGGGTTCGACACCACCCCCACAGAATTGGGACGGCGTCGCTCGGGTACGACGTCGTCCCGCAAAGAGTGGAATAGCACCGCTCGAGTACAACTCCGCCCCACGAAGGTAGGGACATCGTCGCTCGGGAGCAACGCCATATAGGACAACTGGTGTCAGCACAAAAGGTATGGGTTTGCCGCTTAAGAGGTCAACGGCCATTAAGAGGCTGGGGGCAGCCAACCCCCGTCGGTAGGCATAAAAACCCATTGCCTAGCCAACACGGTGCAGGTTTTTTCCACTCAAGCATTCTACTCTCACTCATTCAACCGAAAGCTAATTTAAACTTCGGAGGGGTCGAGTCGAGAAATCCCCCTCCCGATCTTGACCTGTGTACTGGAGCCCAGCAGCGGATAAGTAAGCCACCCGCTGAGAAAGAAGGTCACCCTCGGGAGACGAGGCTCAAACCCGACCCGACGCTCGAGCGTCAACGTGGGAGACCCTGTGCATGGAGGACTCCGAAACAAAGGGCTGCACCGGATACGGGATGGAGAATCATTAAGGAAAACAATATGAGCCCTCACCTTCATTAGGAAGTGTATCTGCTGAAGTGAACAAAGTCCCAAGGGCAAGGATCAGTAAGCAAACTAGACAGCCCAGTCCCACACCATGAAGACAAGAACCACACTCCATGGTTCAACTGAACTCTGAATGCCTATATTCCTTTACACTTTCTGGAAGAAGGAGAAGAAGAAGAAGGCCTTAAAACCCTCCTTAAACCACCGCCATGGAGATTAATATCATGGACCCCCCTCTAGACTCCAAAGAACCAATTCCAAGCTCTCAAACTTGTGTGGAAGACATGTTGCCAAGCTAAACACAGAATAACTTGTTGCTTGGATGGCTTCCTGTGGAGGCTCAGCATGACTGTCACTGCACTGATTCAGCTGGAACATTTAATATGGCTTCAAGTTATGGGATTCTTAATTTGGTACAGATGGATATCTTTCTTTGTCAAGAATGATGGTGACTCATTGACTGATTCTATCCAAAGAATCAGTATCATTGATGCACCTCTTCCATTACAGACTCCAAAGAACCAATTCTAAGCTCTCAAACTTGTGTGGAAGACATGTTGCCAAGCTAAACATAAAATAACTTGTTGCTTGGATGGCTTCCTGTGGAGACTCAGCATGACTACCACTGCATTGATTCAGCTGGAACATGTAGTGTGGCTTCAAGTTATGGGATTCTTAATTTTGGTACACATGGAGCTCTTTCTTTGTCAAGAAGATGGTGACTCACTGACTGGTTCAAATCCATTATTTTTAGATAACTCCATGGAAATTTATCTGGTTAAGGGAGAATGTTCACTTGGAGCTTGGCTAGTGAAGAATCCTGGTGGATCTTATCTTATAGCTAATCTTTATCAACTAGAAATTGACCACTAATAGAATGATGTTGAAACTATTTAATGATTTTCTCCTTCTCAATCACCTCACCAGAAGAAACAACTGCCCTTCACCAATCTGTGGCAACAGAACCTTGACTTTTCAGGATATTCCCTGTCCTATTTGCAATCACATCATTTCTTCAACAATCCAAGAAACATCAACATCAATAGCAGTATATCCCTACCTCACTTATTTAAGACAAGGAAAGAGGGGGCCAGTCAGTAGAATTCTCTTCCTCAGCAGTCTCAAATAGACAGTTGCCAATCCTATCATCTGATTTCAACTTTTTCTTTTTTTAATGATACATTAATTTTATAAAAAGTTAATAGTGTTATGATTTAATGAGCAACCATTAACTTGATAAAAGTTAAGTTGAAATTAATAATAATACTCTGATTAGAAAGAGATTAAAATCACTTAAGATCAAACCTAGTGATGATATCTCCACAGCAGGTCTTTTTCCACATTCATGACAGTATTTTTTTTTTTTCACACTCCTCGTCATGTCCGATATTTATGATAATTTATCAAGTCCTTATAAATTAATTTCACTAATCTCCTACAAATTGTACATATAAAAATAAAACAAACAATGAAAATTGATGGGTGAAGATCAGGAAAAATTAAGGTAAAAAAAAAATCTTTAGCAGTTTAGCCTCATTCATGATAGTCTTGTTTTTTGCTCACACTTCTTTCAATATTTATTGTAATTCTCCTTATAAATTAATTCCACTCATCTCCTACTTTCAATATATAATTAAGTTAAAAATACTATAAAATAGTACTAAAATAATGGAAATTGATGGGTGAAGAGCCGGGAAAATCAATGTTGGAAAAAAAGAAAAAAGATGGACCCCAAATCCTAATGGATTTGCAGTATTCCATATAGCCATCTGCTTCCAGCTTGTAATAGTAAAGACATGTTGAAGAAATGTGATCATGGATAAATGTTGAAATCTACAAGGAGGGCAGAAGGAGCATGAAGTTTGTTTTCATTTTTATTATTTCTTTTTTTTTGACAAGAATTTTATAGAACTTCGAATGGTTGTTGTGAAAGGTTGGTGAACTTTTCCCCTTCTCATTATCAGTCCTCATTATCTGGCTGCTAGTGATGCTGAAGAGACTACTTAAAGGTAGCAAAGTAGCCTATCCTCATCTGTAGCTATTGCCTGCTGCCTTGTCTTTATTTCCTGATGCATACATTTTCTGTTCATAGAACTAATGGTCTAACAATATCATCATCCTTCCACATAAAATAAGATCACTGGTGCACTTACAATTAGATTGGAATAGAAAGATAAGGATACAGCACAAAGTTGGGTGACTCATGTTGCCACACCTGTAGGAAGTTTTGGCATGAACATAAATAGTGCCTTCCCCTTTCCTATTGTCCAATGAGCCCACTGGATGGGCAAACTTGATGGAGTCAATGGGGTCAATGTTCTTGGATTTATTATTGATTAAAATTTGCATTTTTATTGTTATGACTTGAAGCTTAATGCAAGCATTCTTATTCTTTATTAAAAACAACCTTTTCCTTTGCAAAGAAAAAACAATCCAAAGCTTGTTTCCATGATTAGTCTATAGATGATAAAATTTTACTAAGTAATACTTCCCTCTTCATCTTTTGTCAAATAACTTTTCAAATATCTATAAATTTGATAAATAAACTTCTTAACAAGATTTGTCATACTATAACGTACTGTTTGATATAAGGGGTACATATCAATTCGATAAGAGATTGATATGAACAGTATATTATTATACCCCTATATATCATATTGTCGATACGTTCGATATGGCTCAATATAACTTGATACGTATTGTACTAATAAGTTGATCGGTACATCGAATTCATATAATTATATTTTTATTTTATATTTAAATGATATATATATATATATATTTATTTATTTATAACATTCACGAGTTTGATGGGAAGTTGCTAAAAAGATAATTTGATGATAAAAAATCAAGTGAGTGTTTGAGAAAATGGGTGCACTTTTTTTTCTTTGTCCTTATTCTATCTAATGTAAAACAATCATGGTGGGAGTAATGCATCATTAAGAATGGATATATGTTGAACGAAATTGATTGGAAGAGAGCGCTTTGAGCCTGATGATTCTCATTTTCTTGGAGAACCTTCTTTTTTTAACAAATAATGAATTATTAGACTACATTAAACAAAAAAAATTTCAGTGGGAAGGGTGTATTATTGAAAAGATGTGTCTGGATTAAGTTGCATGGTACCATAACAATGGTGTCATTATCATTCTTGATATCACAAAGAAGGATCTGCGACACAACCAATGAAAGTTAAAAGAATGATTTTTTTCAAGATGCAGTTTTCCTTCCAATTCATCAAACAAAACAAAAAACATGTTTGACTGTAATTTTTCATGATCTTAATAATCATGTAATCTGGAAACCAAAACTTGGTTGGAGAATCAAGAACTTTTCAGCCTTCAACAATATGCTGTTGCTGCATGAGCTTCATCAGTTCAAAATTGCCACCTGAAACTTGTTTCATTCTGTGAACACTTCAATCCAAGTTTGCTAGATGCTTTTCAAACTTTTGTTTAACACATCACAAGTTTACAGATATCTTCATCATCACCTAGAGCTAATTTATATGAAAGACAAACTTCACATTCTGGGTTTATTTCTATTTATTAGCATCTTAAAGATCAACCTTCAACTTCTTCAGGCATAAGTTCTCTTTTGTCTTCAATGATTAGCCACATACATGAGCTATAAGAACATCATAATAGACAATAGAGAAAGCGAAACAGCATGCAGCTTTATTCTCATTCATGGTATTCCTCACAAGTACTTCTAACAACAGAGTGATTGTTAGGATGTGGAAGGCGCATCTGGCTGCCGATGAGGAAGGGCAGCTTGAAAAGCAGGCAACTCAGCATATGCTTCATTCAGCCTGGTTAGAGTAGGGTAAAGTGACTGTACCCAAAAAAAAAGAAAATAAAATAAGAAATATTTTAAGATTTGATGAATGAAAGCGAGTAATGAAACAAATTTCCATAAAAGAAACACTCAATTCAGTCATCAAAGGCTTTTTTTTGGAAAGACATCATATGAACTTTACATTTCAGGATTAATGTAATGAATGTCTCAACTCTTCAGAAGTTTTCACCATGCTGAAAAGATTCGACAGAAGTGTACCTTTCGGTTAGAAATTCATCTTAATTTATGTGAATGGGAAATCGATCGGAGAAAAGTTTCACTACTTCTTCGATTTGAATTTCAGACAGTCTAGTTCTGTTTCCATTGGTGGTGGTTCTTGACCAACTATTTATCAGTTAAATTTCATTGACACTGAGAATTCAAGCTCTCGATTCACTATCACTGATGTAGCTAAAGGATATTATTAGATGAGGATGGATAGCATCCGGTGCTTCTATGACCAAATCCTTTGTCCATGAAGATTAACTGTTTCTGCAGGCCTAACATCTAAGTATAAGATTGACACTAAAAAGGTGTGCTCTATCGTGTCTTATGTAATCAGATCATTCGTTCTAGCAGTGTCAATTTGCTCATTATGCCAAAAACTAAGAATGTAGTGTAGGCCAGACGATGTACCAGTTCCATGCATGAGGAAGGATAGGATGCTGAGAGAACGAAAATAAAATGCACTTGGGCTTAATTATGGCATGGTGTCCTTTTATTAGCAGGGAAAATAATGAGACTGCTTAGATTTCAGTACAAATATTGGACAGGGCTAGACAACTTAATGCTGACAGGAATGGGAACCATGGATTTCTTGTTGCTGGTGGATGTTCAGAGTTCTCCCTCCTATTATAGAAATACATAAATAGCTCTTCGTCTCTTTCTGTTTTTTTTTTTTGTATTTTTCTAGTTTTCACTTTTCTTTTGTATTGTTTTCTAGTTCTTTTTATGTTTCATTATTGTAGCTCTCATTTCTATCATCATAAAAAAACTTTCCTGGGGGAAAGATCCTTGCAGTTCTTTTTAGGGGGAAAAAACAAATGAATTAAGAGGAAATTTTAATAACCATACATAACCATAACCTCCAAAAGTCAGAGTCCTCTAGAATCAATTATGAGATGTAAATGATTCTAAACCTAGCAATAAGCTTAATACAGTTAGGTTAAAAACATAGTGCTCTAAGAAGAGGAAAATAAGATTAGTTGGATTGATGCAACTAATGTTACCATGTCAATTTGGAACCGTGCTACTCCTGCAAAGATCTGGGGCGCCAGAAACACATCTGCCTGCACGTGACAATGAACATGTAACATCACTCTGCTTTAGTTTGCTCTCCTGTAAAACTCAGGTAGATGCGCAGGATGCATCTTTTTGCTTCTATGCATGCATTTTTAAAACACAAAGCTGGACAAAGGAGGCACAAAACATATATAGACTAATAAAGTGGTTAATTGCATGTGACATAAATCTAAATGACAGCATATGAAGGATCATCCTGTATTTAATAAGCATCTGTTGAATTTTATATCACAAGGATATAATCAGAGCTTTGTCGGACTAACCAGCTGGACCTCATCTCCGGTAGCATATTTGCCGGCAATCTCCTTTATGAGTTTCTCGATTGCTGAAGAAAAACAAACTTAAGATCAGCTTCCAAAGGAACTAATACTGTCATAAAATATAATAACCAAACTTGAGTAACTAGCCATGACAAAGATTATCAGGCAACAACATACAGGAACATGTAGCACTAGAACTTCATTTTGGTATCCTTCGAGGCATTTGTTTCCACTTTGATT